CAGTCCCTTCCCCAGCCTTGTTGCCCTTCTCTGGACCTGCTCCAGCCCCTCAATGTCCTTCCTGAAAGACTTCCAAGAGCTTTAGAGGGGTGGGTTCGGTCCCCACACCGAGGCCAGATCGAATCCATTGCGACACCAGAGGAGGGAAGTGTAACCTCTGCTCTTGTTTATCCATGGAAAGTCCAAGGAATTAAGCTGGTGTGTGGTTGTTCCAAGTGAAGAAATACAGTTAGGTCTTTAATTGCCTCTTGCTTAACAACACCCCTGACTCTGCCCCAGCTTGTCTGGCCTGCAGTTGCTCAGCAGCTTGTGACGCTCCGTTGGGCAACAGGGTTCCTAGAAGGGCGACCTGAGGGAGCTGGGAAGGCACAGGAACCCCCCCAGGAGGAGGGAAGGCAGAGCCAGAGGGTGACACTGTCCCCCAGCAGTCTGGAGGGCCCTTCACCCTGTTTGCCCCCCCAGCTCCTGGTGCTCTGCACCCACCAAGTGCCACTGCCTGTCCGTCTTCAGTGGGTTTTTCTCACAGAGAGTTTTAGGCCAGCTGAGCTCCTGGCACCCAAACCCACTGCCATCACTTCCTTATCCAGTTCTCCCATGGAGAAAATGCCTTTCAGCTCATTCCAGGGCTCTGCAGACTGATGCCATCACACCCCAGGGCTCTGAGCCCTGGAGGTGACAATGACTTTGCAGGGCACAGACCCAGTGAACTCCCTCCCAGCAGGGATGGGAGAGACACTGGTGAAGCTTGAACCTCCACAGCCATCCCAGCAAATCCTGACACTGGGATGCCCCCAAATCCTTCCCACCTGCAGCACTGGAAGGGGCTGCCCGGGGAGGAGGTGGAGTCTCCATCCCTGGAGGTGCCCAAGGAAGGACTGGACGTGGCACTGAGTGCTCTGGGCTGGGGGACAAGGTGGGGATGGGGCACAGGTTGGACTGGATGCTCTGGGAGGGCTTTTGTGGCTGATCCACCCCCGTCCCACCGAAACCAGATGAAGGGATACACAGCCCTTGGTGCAGCCTCACGCCTGGAAACACAAACACTGGGCTCCTGGGAAAGCCACAGCCCTGGGAAACGGGTGCTGAGCAACCTGCAACCCCCTGCATCGGATGCTTTTCCAAGGGGAAGCTCCAGAACTGCAGCAGAAGGTGACAGGGAGGATCCCTTCCTTGGGGGACACATCCCTCCAAGCTCATCAAGGCCCTCTGGTAATTAGCTGCAGCTCAGCTTCCAAGGCAGAAGTCAATAAAAGCATTTTCAGGTTTGAAGTCTCGTTCTCTAAAACCACCCAAGGCACCAGAAACCACAAAGCACTTTCACACACACTCTGGGTTAGACCAAGGAAGGGATCAGAGCCGAGTTCAGGACTTTAACCCGGGATAATAAACCCAAGGTGGGTTTACACGAGGCCAAGCCAAGCAAATCACTGGATCTGCAGCAAATACTCTGGGAAAAAAAAAA